CTGTTGCCGTCGAAAAGTTTGGAGTCAAGTCTTTCCCTACTCTGGTTCTCCTGCCTGGTGGCGACAAGGAACCCATTACCTACGATGGAGAGATGAAGAAGGACGGTCTCGTCAAGTTTATTTCTCAGGTCGCCGAGCCTAACCCCGACCCTGCGCCCGCCAAGGACAAGAAGAAGGCTGAGAAGACGGAAAAGAAGGAGGAGAAGAAGGCCGACAAGAAGGCCGACAAGAAATCCTCCGCCAAGCCCGCCGCTGCCGAAGAGGCATCCCCCGAGCCCGAGACGCCTACCGAGACCCCCGCTACCCAGGAGACTCCCGCTGCTCCTGCCACTCCCGCTATTCCCGTCATCGCCACCCCCGAGACTCTCCAGAAAGAGTGCCTCAGTCCCAAGTCTCACACCTGCATCCTCGCCTTTGTCCCCACCAAGGAGAACGAGAAGGCCCAGAAGGCCCTCAGCAGCCTTGCTGAGCTCGCCCACAAGTACGCCAAGGGCCAGCGCAAGATCTTCCCCTTCTTCTCCGTCCCCGAGGAGAACACCGCCGGCGCCTCCGTTGTTAAGGGTCTGTCTCTCAAGGGCGATGTCGAAATTGTTGCTCTGAACGCTCGCCGCAACTGGTGGAGACACTACGAGGGTGACTTCGACCTCGTGAGCGTCGAGAACTGGGTTGACGCTATCCGTCTGGGTGAGGGTGCCAAGAAGAAGCTTCCTGAGGGCGTGGTAGTCGAGGAGGTCGCGACCCCCAAGGAGAGCACCGAGTCTACTGCGGCCACTGAGCCCACCCCCGAGCCGGAAACTGAGGCTCCCAAGGAGGCGGCGTCTGAGACTCCTGCTGCGCACGACGAGTTGTAAACAAGAAAAAGGCCTGCATGATGTTCTGTACGCATGATTAGCTGGAGTTGTACCATAACAATCAGTAGGGAATCTGACCGTTGATAATATTATACTTTCCACTGTCGTAATGCGTCATATCCGCTGCAACAGTCCTATGATTCCATCTCCAGATCCAGACCAGTTCCCTTCTCCGCCGCACCCTCCTGCACCATCTGCCTGCCCTTCTCCTTCACTACCCTATCCATGAACTGCCGCACCTGCTTGCAGCCGTCTACGCCAACTGCCAGCATGCCCTCCAGGCGGCTGACCTGCACGCGACTCTCGCAGACCAGGACGGCAACGCGGTCCGTCAGACCAAGTGTTCCCACCGTCAGGTACGGCAACTCCTGCTCCTCCTGCGTGTTCAAATCCAGCAGAGGGTCGGCGCCGTCGTCAGCAGCGGCATATGTTGATGTCGAGCCTGCAGTGCATGCGGCAATGTAGTCGGTCATGGGAATACCCGCGTCAATCAGGGCGAGAGTCGAGGCATTGAGCAGCGCAGCCAGCAGAGAGCCATCCTGCGACAGGACGTGCAGCGAGATTGAGATGCTGCTGTGGGGGAAGAGATGGGTGTGGAGGTTCGCGGCGACAGCCTTGGCGATGGCAGCCTCAAGTTCTTGGTTGCGCCTGCAGAGACGGAAAACAGTCAGTCAATTATTGCCCTCATCGTCGCATCTCGGGTTCACGTCGGCACCCACTTGTCATTGCGACCGCGCTTCCTGCGGTCGACTGAGCTGAAGCCGGCAACTACAATGTTGACATTGACGGCAGCGTCCTTTGTCTGACCACCCGCACCTCCGCGTCGCTGGGGTTCGCTCGGTCCCGTCACGACGCACATGACCTTGGTGTGTCCCATCTCGAGGTAGCTGGAGCCATCTGCGGCCTCCTGGGTGCGGATCTGGGCATGCAGGCGTCGGAGCTCGTTCCAGCGGCGGCCGTCCACGCGCAGCAGCGCCATGGAATATGTTGATGTGTCGAGCGGCATCGTCGTCTGTTGTTGCTATCGTCAATTCCGGGGGAAAAGGAGGATTGCTGCGAATTGGTGTGCTGGGAAATTCGAGAACAGATGATGTCGCGCGCAGACCGAACCAAAATTTTGGGAAGCGTCAATCCACCATGGCACTTGCCGCCTGCGAAAGCAAGCACCAAGTGGGATGGTGAGGTGGGGCCGCACGGCGTCGGTCCGCGATGCACGGGCCATTGAACCCTTGGGGCCCTGAGCCCAGCTCTCAAGGAAAGTCAAGAATCAAGATTCAAGACAGGCCCGCACTGTCCCTTCCCCAGATCGCGGGGAAGCTGCCTTACCCTGCCCTCCATCAACTGCAAGCCGAGAGCTACAAGAAACGGGAAAGGTCTTGAAACTAAAGCCCGAGTCCAGCATGGATGGTGCAAGTTGACGTGCAGGCCACACGACACCTCGTCCGACCAGCAACCCATTGGCGGGATCCGAAAACGCGGGGTAGCGAGAGTTAATGCTGCACCTAATATCCGGAACGCTTCTGACGGGACGGTCCATCGAGGGATTCAGCAGACCACGAGACCCAAGCCGCGAGGTGGTCTGACAGGAGGAACATGTTGCGCGGGCATTGTCTGTGTCGCCTGAGTACGATCCCGTCCCCTTGGCGGGTAGATTTACAGGCGATCACCGCTCACATACATCTCGTCACATCGGCAGATCAGGTACACCCGCTGTTAGTGATAAATCATGTTTCTCGTTCCTCGTCATGCTACAATTACATACAATCTCGTCGCAAGAGAAGAATGCGGTCGGCCGCTGTGGCCGCCGTTATGATCCAGTTCAAACCCAGTGCTTGCATTCCAGCCTGTCCCGTGCCGTACCGAATCCGTAAAGCCAATCCCAGAGTTGCGAGTGAATAGGAAATGAGAGTTTCAAAGTGCGTGAGATGGGCTCTCACCTCACCATCATCATTACGCCATGACCAAGACGCCTACGCTGGACGTATTGAACTCCGTAGGCGGCGGCACCAGAACAAGGTTGCTGCTGGGCTGAGGCTCATCGTCAGGCCCATCGGTCCATCCTCGGTCGGGGCCCCAGCGAATCTTGCGGTTATTCGCCGCAGTTATTTCGAGGAGCCCTTTCATCATTGCACCCGATTTCTTAACACTTGGCCACGCGTCAAAAGTGACCGTGTCAAGCCAGGGCATCTCGTTCATGACCTCTGTAAGAAGAGATCGACAAAAGCCTTCGTAAAAGCCGTCTGAACGGCGGAATCCGTTGAAGATACCGTCGCTGGGGTCGCATTCGACCATGACCAGGAGTCGACGGACGTTGACGCATTGCTGGAGTCCTAAAGCTGGAGTGACTATCCATCCTCGTGGCGGCTTGCTCCAGCCGGGACCGAGTCGCAGCTCCAACGAGGTGATGTGGGATCGTGAGGCTGGCTTCATGCGGGCCAGCAGCGGCTTCTTGGTCTTGAAATACTTGCCCGGGTGGGTGGGAAAGATCCGGAACGAGCGGCTGCTGTAGAAGTAGTGGGAGACTTCTTGGTATATGGTACGGCAAACCCTTTGAATGCCGAGCTTTTTGTGGTATTTCTTGTAGTTGTCCGGGTCAAGATCAATGACCTTGCCGTCGCCCTCGAAGTAGTAGTCGTACACCTTAAGGCGAAGTTCGGACGGCAGTGACATGAAGGGGAAGGGCTTCGCCTTCCGTCTAGCCTTCTTCTGCTCAAGAGAGAGCGCGCTCATGGGCAAGTTGTTCACCTCGCTGTCCCAGTCCGCTTCGGAGGCGTACGTCGAAGGGTAGGCGGAACTCAGTGGTGTCGTAAGAGTAGACGAGATGGGCGTGGGGTCATGCGACGGACCCAAAGCCCGGGAGACCTTGACACGGCGAACCATCATGGCGGATTGCTGTTGTCGTTCGAAGGATCAATGGCGGATTTCGAATGGGATATCGGTGGCCCGGAATATCTTAGGGCGAGTCGTGGAATCGGTCGTCGATAAGGAGGACGGGAGTGGCGGGGTGGCGGGGTCTTTGTCGCGCAAGGGTATCTAGCGGCAGTATGTGCAGAGATTTCAATAGCGATGAGGTGCAATGTTTAGGCGAAGCAGGTCAAGAGGCAGTCTGGAAGGACGCGAAGAATCACAGAGGGTGGTCCCATTGTGATCGTGGCATCGAACTTGGGGACCACCCTCTAGAATTCACCACGCGCAACAGCCATGGTGACGGTGTGAAGAAGCGGGACGGGGATGACTGGAATGGTTTGGGATTGGGCGGAGGCTATGGCGCTATGTGTCGTCGATTCAGCGATGGTGGAAGGTCGAAGGATCCTGCTCTTCGAAATGACCACAGAGGTGTAGATGGGAGAAGTAGTAAATCGGACAGATCGGGGTCGAGCTCGGTATATGTGAGGGGAAGAGGAAGACGAGGTGCGGAAAGCGCAGCACCTCAGCTCATGCATGAAGGTCACTGCCAGAATACCAGACGCTGCCAGCACCAGAAAGACCGGAGACGAAGGCGCGGCGGACTGGATGCTGGGCTGCAGCGCTGCAGGAGACGGGGACAAGGTTCGCACGTGAGCCCCTGCTGGTTTAATTGACTAAGCCTGACGAGCCGGGGCCAATCAGCTGAGGGCAGGCCAAAGTGGAACGGCTTCTGCACCGAGAATGACCTCATTGGGCGAGACGGACTGTGACGCTGAGCTGCCTTAGTCATTCGATGTCGGAGAACGGATCAAGTTCGGCGATAAGCGGCACTGAGGAGGAGCTTGGACTCAGGCGGCCAGGCCCAATCAGAGCTCCAAATTCAACAGAAACCTTCCACGATGGAGTGGGGTGACTGGTGGATGTACCCCTCCGGCACCAGCTGCGTGCAATGGTACTTGTGTGCGCTACGTAACTTTGCACCTGCCAAAGTGCAGGTCAGTGACCTTGACTTTGAGTGTGTGAGGTGGTGCTTCCCTCTGTGCCTCTCAAAAATTTCTAGTGGCTTCGTCAGGAATATCGCCAGCCCACTCCGCCTGCTCCAACCTCGACAACGCCTGCCAGGCCTTTCTTCGTTGTCGGCGCATCACCTCCACCGCCCCTTGTTCACGATTTACGATTGAACCATCTTTGGGTCTTGACACCCTTGCATTCATATACGCCGACATTGGCCCTTGAGACGTCATGCTGTCAAGGGCAGCTCGGTTCGCGCGCCTGCAGCCCTCTGCGGCGCAGCTGTATCGCCCAGTCGCAACACCACTGACAAGACCCCAATTCGTGGCCGCAACATGGAGCAGAAACTTCGCCCAGCAGAAGAAGCCAAAGAGCGCCTCTGGATCTGCCCCCAAGCCCGCCGATAGCCAGAAGCCTGCGGACTCAACACCCGAAACCACATCACCGAAAGCTTCAACCAACGCCTCCGATGCCGAAGCTAAGACAAACGCCTCCGATGCGACCGAAGCCCCCGAGGAACCCACACCGACCGGCCCTCTGCCCGATCTGACGCAGGGCATTCCGTCCACTCTTGCCTACGAGATGTCCGGCGCGACCAACAAGGCTGCCCTTGCTGCCATCGCCGAGGAGGATGCTGTCGCATCTGGTGGCGGCCGTGGCCGTGGAGAACTCCCCGATTCAGCATATGTCTCTTCAACAGACAGGAAAAGACAGCAGCTTGCCAACCGCATGTACCTTGCCTTCCTTGGATTCACTATCACTGGTGCGATCTACCTCGGCCGCAACTGGGACGACGAGATCGAGGCCAAGAGGCATGCCGAGGACGCACCCAACGGCTGGGGATTTGGAGAGTGGTGGAACAGAGTGAAGGCGCGTACAGGAGACTTCCTCAACTACTACCAAGAGCCCGCCTTCGAAAAGCTCTTGCCCGACCCGGATCCGTCCTTCGAGCGTCCCTACACTCTCTGCATCAGCTTGGAGGACTTGCTGGTCCACAGCGAGTGGTCTCGTGAGCACGGCTGGAGAGTTGCTAAGCGGCCCGGTGTCGATTACTTCCTGCGCTACCTCAGCCAGTACTACGAGTTGGTCCTCTTCACCAGTGTGCCCTTCGCTATTGGAGAGCCGCTCGTCAGGAAGCTCGACCCTTACCGCTTCATCATGTGGCCCCTCTACCGCGAAGCAACCAAGTACAAGGACGGAGAGTTCGTCAAGGTATGCGTCTGGTCTCTTTTTCGTTTCTGCGACCAGGGCTAATTCAGACTCAGGATCTTTCCTACCTTAACCGTGACCTGTCTAAGGTGATCATTATCGACACCAACGAGAAGCACGTTCAGCACCAGCCGGAGAATGCCATTGTTCTTCCCAAGTGGAAGGGCGACTCTTCAGACAAGGAATTGGTCGGCTTGATCCCTTTCCTCGAGTACATCCACACGATGCAATACGGCGATGTTCGCAAGGTCCTCAAGTCTTTCGACGGCAAGCACATTCCCACCGAGTTCGCGCGCCGTGAGGCCATCGCTCGTGCCGAGTTCCAGAAGCAGGTTGAGGCCAAGAAGAAGAAGGCGCCCTCTGGAATGAGCTTGTTAGGAGGTATGCTGGGCCTGAAGCCCTCTAACATGAGCCTCATGGTCTCTCCCGACGGTGAGCAGAACCCTCACGAGGCTCTCGCCCAGGGCAAGATGCTCCAGGATATCGCCCGTGAGCGTGGACAGCGCAACTACGAGCTTCTCGAGAAGGAGATTCGCGAGAACGGCGAGAAGTGGCTGAAGGAGGAGGCCGCCATGCAGGAGAAGATGCAGCAGGAGGCCATGCAGAACATGATGGGCTCTTTCGGCGGCTGGTTCGTGAAGAGTGACGACCCCAACAAGAAGCAGTAAAAGGGTGGACACTCCACTCAAACCAAAGCTAATGAGCACAAGCTGTGCGTTTTTACACTACACCTTTCTTCTCTCCTCTTACCAAAATTACTTGTACTTGTATTATCGGGGCGGGTTCCGGCGATGGAGAGGCGCCACAACTTGCATATAGACTTGACGACGCGTGGGTCTGCGCATGTACGAATCTCTGTATACTACCCTTACCTCTAGGCCACCTTGGAGAAGCTGGTGTAGCCAGCTTGGTGTATCTATGTGAAGATATTGAGTTCTCCAACACTGTTTTCGGTCATGACGCACCGAACCTTCTGAAGCGAGTGTATTTGATATCAGACACTACGAATAACAGCATGCCCGACGCCAGTTTCGTCTGATTCATCTCATGTCCTCCAATCCTTGCTCCTTACCATCAGTGATTCTCTGGTATCTGGTATCTCGACGCAAAATGATTCCCTCAAAGACAACGTTAATTCTCTAACCATCCCCAACATGGCACCTGAGCTTAACCCGTCCACTCTTGCAGCCTAAACTCTCGAGTCCTTCTTGGGTGGGTAAAGTCCCTGACGTCTACACTCCTCGCAGTTGGCATTCGAATAGCATTGGAACTTCCTGATAACCAGGTCAGCGTCAAGATTCTTTCATATGATGTAGTCTGAACTCACTCTTCTTTCGGGATCTTGTCGCAGTCGCAGGATTTTGTGCACCACTCAATAGTGATTTGCCGGGGCAAGAGCTTCCCCGCGGTCATGAGCGAATCGACCTCTTGCGCGGCTCTGCTGTCGACCTTTGCGGTTGGCGCGGCAAGGCCAAGGCCGGCGAGGACGGCGAAGATGGTGAAGTGGGAGATCTGCATGTTGATGTTGTTGAGATATGCTCGAGGCTGAAGGTATTCTCAGAAGTGAATGGAGCGTCTTTGGGATGAGAAGTATTGAAGTGATGGTGCAGGCTGTGGCTCGTCTTGGAATGGTGTCTGGATGTCTTGACTGAATCTCCAATCTCAATCCGGATCTTGCTTCAGTTTATATACTCTTTCGCTGAGAGTGAAGAGCGAATGTCGAGCTTGAATCTCACTCGGCCTGGGTTATCGCCAAGAGAGAAGAAGATCCCTAGTTCGTCTCTGACCTGTCACCGCCTCATCACCTGTCCGATGTTTGCTTCAGCCTTCAGCGGCCACCAGCAGCAGAAGCCTCTATTCCAAGACCTCGTGACGGCTCAACGCTGACGACCTCGGCGATATCAACCCACCCCAGCCTGGTCTCGATCTGACCGGCGTTGAGAGCGGATGACAGAAGGCGACAAGATTTCGATAGCGCAGCTGTCCTGTGGCGCGCGGCAGCGTCGTACGGGGCGCACAATGCAGTTGACAAACACATGGCGGGGTAGCAGTTGCATGCATGACAGGCGACTTATAGACGCGAGCTCTGGACCCGGTATACAGGGCAACCGGTAAGGGAGAGAGACAGAAAGGTGCACGCCAGATGTGCATGTTCTACTTCCATCGCCCCCGGCTCGTACCGCAGAAGACTTCGCTTGTGCGACGTGACAAGAGGCGCGTTGAACCGGGGGTCAGGTCCGTGAAGCAAATATCCGGTTGGCATGAGGTGATATTGCACACATACACACACACACACACACATCTCCAGCCTCCCTGCTCGGCAGCGGAGGCTTACCGGCCGTGGCGCAGTAGTCCACGGGCTCACGGGCTCTCACAGAGTGGTACGGGGAGCACATGGCCGGTGTCGAGACATGGCGGGAGCGTCGAGACCTTGCCGCGGTTGGCCAGGCACGCTGGGTCATTTGGAAAACATTGAGCAGAGGATTGTTACCCCTCACATGTGCTTGCGAACCACAGAATGCGCACACAGGATGTTCAAATTTTGCTTCCTTGCCTCATTAGCGGTGAGAGATTCAGTTTGTGAAGAGTACCTTACGCGACGGGGCTGACCGAGACAACGAAGGCTGCGGTGCTGCATCAGAACGGCGAGATCCTGGAAGCACAAGATAGCCAGAGCTCGGCTGCCAAAGACAGGAGCTCTAGAACGATGCTACGAGGCGCAAGACTTCGGAGGCAGGTACGCTGACTTGTGTAGAACGCTGGTAACATATGATGGCATGGGTTTGTGGACACCAGGGCGAAGGAATGTGGTCTGAGGAAAACATGCCAAAGGCGAATTGCAACGCAGGCGTGAACAATGTGACAAAATGAGATGCTTTACTAAAAATATGAGACAGGCGTTGCCCTGCCGGGTATTTGAGCAACACGAATGACTACGATGATTTGGCCTCCCCGTTCTCTATCGGTTTCTTCGCTTCGCCGTTGGAGTGCACCGCGCCATTCGGAACAGTGCCGTTCGCCTTTACAGATCCGTTCAACTTGACGGGCGATGTTTGCGGCTTGTTCGCCTCCGTGATGAGCAGAACGATGTAAGCAACGATGCCAACGATCGCCGCGAAATCCAAGCTGTGGACGAACCACCAAAAGTGCTGCGTACCCAAGGCGCACGCCGCGTATTCAAACTTCCAACTCCAAGTCTCCTCGTCAAACCAGGCGCTGAGGAGTCCCGCATTACCGCCGAAGTCGCCCATCATGCTCCTGACCGTGATCTCTCTCAGTCCCGGCGCACCAGGGGCCCCGACAGCTCCCCGGCCCTTGGCGGTCGGCCAGCGTTCAACCTCCCACCTTCTGTCGCTGAGCTCGCCTTGCGTCTGATTGATGTAGTGGTACGTGTCACAACCCTCGTGATCGTGGCCGTTAAGGATAACGCCCCGACGACCTCTCCCGTTACCAGGGGCATCAGGGTTGCCGCTCATGCCAAGGAGGCCCTCCAAAAAGCCCTTGCTAGCGTCGTAGGAAAGTAGGTTCTGCTCCTTGACACCCCCACCGTCGTGCTCGCCGTGGAAATCGAAGAAGGGCGAGTCAACGCAGACGCCTTCGGGCTTGTACAGCGGGATGTGGGTCAGGATCACGGTGAAGTGGCCGTTGTACTCGACAGCTGCCGAGGTCTCAATGATGGAGTTGATGAAGGCGTAGGTTTGATCCTGCAGAGAGGTGTCCTTCGCAGGGGTGTCTAAGTTCATGTCGTTCAAGACGATCACGCGGATCTCGGGAGGTAGCCGGTCGGAGTCGGGGTTTTTCTCGTCGTCCACCACAGTAGCATTGAGATTGGGGTCTTCGATAGGAAGCTCGAAGCGCAGTTCGTAGTTTGCCTTGCCAAATAGGCGTTCGAAACGTCCAAAGCGGTCCTGGTTGATGTCGCCAGCATAGCCGATGTCGTGGTTGCCAGCGACGTTGATGACACGTCGCGACCATACCGAAGACGGCTCGCCAGACGGAGAGAGGTAGTCGGCGAGCTCATACTCCATAGACGGGTATGCAGCTACATCGTCCGGGACACGCTCGGTGCCTCGCATAACGCGGTCCCAGTACCTGCGGCCACGGCTCCGGAATTCTTCTATGCCAATCCATTGGCTACCCAGGAGGTCGCCAAGCACAGTAACATGGGTAGGGCGAGTCCACCATTGTACGGTTCGGTAGATGTGGGCAAGGTAGAAGTCGTTGCCGAATATGTCTATCCGCTTGCGGAGGGACTCGAGCTCGTTGAAGACGTCCTCGAGGAAGATGTCGATTACATCGTGTAGCGACTGGCGGACGCGTTGCCGCAGCGAGTTTGGTGCCTTGAATGTCACTTGGGACCACCAGCTCCTCGCGTGAGGGAAGGCAGGACCAGGAATCCTTCGGATGGCGGTGTCACCCTCGAGTTGAGGGTCGCCCAGCGCAAGGAGTCTGAAAGGAGCGGGTCGGGAGTCTGTCGATCGGAGGGGGATCGGCAAAGGGAGGTGGTGTCGCGCAGCTTCGATGAAGGCAGCCTTGCTGTCGAGCTCGACGTCGCTGCTGCTGCTGCTGCCGGTACTCGGGGCGACTGGGAACGCGCAGCCGAGGAAGACGGGATACAGATAGAGGTAGAGGGTCGAGACTACCGCCAGCGGGATGATCAGGCGGAGGCCATGGCGGAGGATGGCCACGAGGGACATGTGGCTGGCAGCATCAGCAGAGGTCGGCGGCGACTCTGCAGCTGTGGTTGTGACGGTCCCCCTATTTCGTGGGTTCTGATGTCGTGTTGTTTTCTGGAAGAGGAAGAGAGAGAAAAAAAAAAAAGTGAAACCCAGAGCTCCTTCGACTTTCGACACTGGATGTCTGGAAAAGGGGTCCAAATGGGTACAGTGACGCCTGCCCAATGATCTCACTGTGTCTGGGGCTGTTCAGTGGGGCCATGCAGGTCCCTGTCCGCTGTATTTTTCTAGCGATCGCGGTCCAGACCACCGACGTCATCTGTCTCGACACTGTGCTGAGCTGCTTGCATTTAGACTCGAGGTTTGTCTTAGTCCACTTGACCACTTTCACGTGAGGTTATGAAAACAGCTCGCAGGCTGCAAAACTTCCTTGCTGCAATGACTGAGACTGTCAAATAGGCTTATTACGCATTTAAGCCTGGTCAGCGAAATCGCGGTGCTCATGCGATCACTTGTTGTTCATTCCTCCGAAGAAACGTGCGGCTGTGTACCTCAAATGCCAGACAAGCTATTTGTGTTGCTATCCATGACAAAAATTCAGTTTTCTCTATTCTGATGATGTCTTGGAAACTTGTGGGCTGCAATGAAGTCTACCTTCATGATTCTAGCTGTAAGTGTCCTTGAGACGACCTCAGATCGGTCATAGTAAAATGATGGCGGCGGGCGGGCCAGCTATATTTACTACACGTACGTGAATTGAGAGCCACTGAGAAAATGCGGCCGCGCATGTTTAACCAACATTGGCGCATGTGAACGCGGCTTATAAGGGTCAATATCTTCTACTATCGGTGGCTTCAGATCGCCATAAATAGTAGTTGCGGCTATGTTCATGACTATCACTGGCTGGAAAGGCTGTAGGAGTGGAGGGTGGCTGCTGACCACCTTATCGTCGAGAGCTGGCGTCAAGTTCTCAACGCCATTCCCCAAATGACTGCATCGTGTTGGTGTCACCATCAAGATTACTGGCTAAGATATCCTTTTCTGAGGTGTCTTACATGCCATTATGGTTTCGTGTGGTAGCACAAATCAACCTGTGTAGAAAGCAACCAGAATAACATTGTCAAGGAACTGCTGATATCCTCTCCAGCATGCGAGGCACACTCAAGCGCCCGCAGCTATGGTCGCTACCCGGTCACATAATATGACAGCCTGATCATCCAAAGGGGCTTCCACCTGCTTGAAGAAACTTGGTAAAAACCTGCAGCCTGATCATTAAATTCAAGAGAATGCCGCCAACTTTTGCGCTCACTGCCTTATTTCTCGTCGATATTTCATTCAATTGACAGATATTTTTCCTCATTCTCTGAGTCTGTTTCAAACTCGTATCCAATCTTGTGGGAAACGCGTATTTCGGATCAGGACGCCATCATGTCGCCTGACTGGCTAGCCCAATGCTATGAATGGCCAGACGAATTGCAGCCGAACTCAGACATAGGCGGAATTGGGGTGCGTATGACACTTTCAACATCTATCTACTTTTGGAAACTATTCGGACTAATGTTTCGGTGTCTCTCCAGGTCTTGATTGGTTTTATGGGAACCTCGGGACTTGTGATTCTACTTGTCATCATCCACTACGTCGTTGCTTTCGACCCATCCACAGACCCTTTTTCCAGAGAAGACGGTAGCTCCGCTATGGATGATGGTGGTGATGAAGGATGGAAAACCAATAGCGTTGACCGGATCATTGTGGATCTATTCATGACGATGCGCAATTGGCTTGAGATCAGAACCCGACGCAAATTGAGAGACATTTTAACAAAGGTGAGCTGTCTGACATTTTATCTTCGATTTAGTATTACACAGCTTGGCGCTAATGTTAATTCAGGCTATACTGACACTTTGTGATATTCAACTCTTGACCGGTCTCGGCATACTAGTAAGCGGGTACATGAATCTCTTTCAGAACGCTATATCCGCATACCATTGGAAACTTCTCGTTTATCTGGTTTGGTTCTCGAATCTCACACACGTCTGTTGTTTGACGGTTATTCGCGGCTATCTCAATCAGCATCGGTGGGAGCGAATCTGGAGAGTGATACTCATGTTCGTCCTTTGGGCCGGCCTTCTATCCGCCTTCGTACCTACTTTGTCGATCGACTGGAGCAAGAACGATTCCCTCCGCCTGGGGGCTACAAACGCTCGCTGCTTTTTTGACAGGAGATTAAGCAGAGATATAATTCTCTCAAGAATATGCACACTGCAAGGGAATCGGCCCGAGTCCAATTCAACTTTCGAGGAGTGTCTGAAACACAAATCAATCCCCAATAATGACACAATCCATAACACAGACAAGTCGCTGGCCGCTCTCATTAGCATGGTCTTGGTGTTTATCACGTTCTTTATGCGCCTGCTAAAGATTACCCATTCGTGCTCGAATCGTATCAAGACGATATTCCGAACAACACCAAGAAAGTGGCTTATGAGAAGAATTACGAAAACATTGAATAATAATTACGAGAATTATGGAATTATACAAAGAGGTCAAAAGCTTCTGCTCTTTCAAATCACTCTCTACTACGGGCTCAAAATCCATTTCGACTTTCTTTCGTCTGGCTTCGTTGACGTAAGTTTACAATCGTCCATATGCTCATTGATGGATAGTATGCTGACAATCATGATGCTGTGCAGATCCTCACTTTGATGATTTCTGGTGCTTGGGGAACTTTACGACTTGTGATTGATCGTTCTTCAATCAAGGTTGACGAAGATGTTTGGGGATTCGGTCAGATTTTGGCAGTGTTTTTACTTATTGGGCCCCTTGTTGCATTGGTCACGCCCCTCCTGAAGATCATCAGACCAAAGAAGGCAGTCATGCCGTCAGAAAACCGGTCCTGGGTGTCATTGCATACACAAGGGACACAAGAAGCAGAGAGAAACCCTGAGTCGCCAGATACTCTGATGAACGAGACAGTATTAGAGCCACCCGCCTCGGATTCTCTAATTGAAACCTCGACTAGGCGAGATATTCCTAGTAGTGGAATCATAGGAGACCCCGAACCAAACCGCCACGGAGAGGGATGCTTTGCTAGAGAAGGTTTTGAGCTTCCACTTTGGAACTCTTCAACGGAATCGGTGCAAAATCGGGCGTACATGTCAGAGACGAACCCAGCTTTTCCCCAGGTTGACGCGAAGAAAAATGCCGGTTACCCATTGCAACACCTCGTTTTGAGCCATTTGTCAGATCATGGCCTTTCAACCCCTGAACAAGTTAAGAATCGACTGGACAACTATTTCACGAACTGTAGGTGGATTAGGCGAGTTGTTTTACTAACGGCATGTCAGTTGTTGGTGCTGTCAGTAGGCTACGTTTATTTTGAAGTAAGCATTGACAGTCTTGTCGGATTACTATCATTCATCGCCCTTCCGATGATGTTGTTTGGGCCTTCGTCAAGCTGCTTTTATTACGTGGCTCTTGGCTTACGACTAAGGGAAGACCACTTCATCAAAAAGGATATTTTGTCGTTCCCTGCACTCTTCTGGATTATCAGTTCGCTCCAAATATTTGAGATCATTTTTTTCGCACCTCCGTGTGCGTCGGTGGCACAGATTGGAATCATAATTATTCTGTCGTTATACTTCCTTATTTATTTCGGCTGCCAGAGGATAGGCCGGCATGTCTGGCTGCATAGAGACTAAGGTGGCTTGATAGAAGACAGGGTTAGGTTCGCGGTTGGCCATGTGGTAAGACCACATCCACTTGCAGCTGGTCTTGGCTGGAGATAATCCGCCAGTTTTCATTTTATAGTAGTTGGTAGAAAATATTCCTAAAATCGTCCCTACTATTGCTGCCGATGAGTTTAGCTATCTAGGTGAATATTTTCAGCTCACAGGATAGACCACTACCTGCTTTGTTGAAGGGCGTTTCACTTTATTTCATCACCATTATTACCGCTGCTGTTGTTTTCAGCATCGCGGTCGTCATGGTTTTCGCCGTGTTTGTACTTGTCGTTACCGTTGTCCTGTTATTCATATGCAGTCGAATAGCAAGCACCACCGTCACATCATTAAATTTGTAGGTGTGCACGAAGAAACTCTGGGCCTATAGATACAGAAACCATAGGTGATCTCTTCAATTTATTCAACGTCTTTCTTATGCAAGATTACAGTCTTGAGATGGGACCATGCTTTCTCACAACACCCAGTGATGCAGGTGTAATGTCGGCAATCGAATTACATCCGCAAAGTTGCATACACCTCTTGAACTCGTCGTATATGATGTCCAAGACCCTGCTCACACCTGTCTCGCCGTCATACTATTCGCGAGTTAGTTGACATTGCTGCGCTTCAACGTTAGGGATTGACTTACACCCAGCCCCCAAATAACCGGCCGTCCGATCCAAACGCAGTCGGCACCGAGAGCCACCGCCTTGAAGACATCTGTCCCGCTACGGATGCCGCCATCGATGTGAATCGGGATCCTTCCCTTCGCCGCCTTGACACAATGAGGAAGCACGTCGATCGTGGCCGGGGTCTCATCAAGTTGTCGACCGCCATGGTTGCTCACAATAACGCCGTCACACTTATACTGGACAGCCAGCTCCACGTCCTCGGGTGTCAGAACGCCCTTGATCCAAATTTGCAGCTTTGTCACGCTCCTCAGCCAGGGGATCTCCTTAGCCCATGAATGGGAGTTGGAGTTGATGACGTCAAACCCGGCCTCGTGCGTGGTAGCCCGGATCATCTCAGAAGTCCTCTCAAGCATGGGCAGGGAAAGGCCCTCGGGCACGCGGAACTGATTGCGAGGTTCGTTGTACCGGACGCCTAGCACCGGGCTGTCTGCCGTCAAGAAGATGGCTACACATCCAGCCTTCTCAGCGCGCCTGATGATGCGGAGTTGCGCTTCACGGTCTCTCATGCTGTAGAGCTGCATGACGTGCTTCAGTGGACCAACTCCCAGCCCGGCCTCACGGATTTCCTCAACGGAATAGTTGGCGAACGAAGAGACGCCCATGTGCACCTTGCGTTTGGCGCATGCTCTGCTGGTTGCGAGCTCGCCGTCGGGATGGGCCATTGCTTGGATGCCCGCGGGCGAAACGGAAAGCGGGAAATCGATCTTTTGGCCAAAGACCGTGGTACTGGTATCGACTTCGGAAACATCGACGAGAACGCGAGGGAGCACTCGGTACTTGGAGTATGCTGTGGTGTTCTCTTTGACCGTGATCTGACCCGTTGAGCCGGCATCGTAGAATTCTAGTGATGTGGATGTTAGTTACTGCACATGTTGGGGTCGGATGCAGACCCCTCACCTCGGGCGGATGAGGAGAGCTTCTTTGAAGCAGCTTTCCTGACGTCGTCGACGTTGAGAACTAACTCTTCAGTTTGATCAGTCATATTGACGCCGTTGAAAATTGGTGATAATGCTATTCAAATTCTAGTATAGATTGAGTCTTCGGTGACGGAGGGGGGTTTAAGTCTACGAGGCATGTTCCCCATTCCCCAACTTCTTATCAATGCAGGTTGCCATTTGCCTATCGTTGACCGCATCAAGCCCGATGTCGCTGGCACGAATCATTGTTAGTCAGTTTGCCCCATTAGATTATATTATCATTATCGACATGCAGTGCTGTTATCGTTAGGGCCGGGCCAGCTGCAAGCCAAGTAAGCTTGATTGTCAGTTATGGTGTCGTAGGGCGCGATTGACGCACGGCGACAGACATGAATGGCGGGCAGAATTTCTGAACAGCGGAACACTCCTACTGCAGCATGGTCGACAGCGCCCTTTCGCGTATGCTGCTGTCAGATTTAACGACGCAGCATCTTCTTCGTCGAGCTGGAAACCCCTCAGTCTCGAACCTAAAGACTTCCATCGCTGGAGGGTTGCCGAGAGTGGACTGCAATTCATCAATATGCTGACGCCGAGGCCAAATTGCCATGAATGAATCATCAATCGTCTTCCATTAGCTGCTTGGCCTCAATGAGGTCAGCATGTAGTATATGTATGCCGTATGCGGTACCCCAACGCCGTGCAACAATGCAGAAAACCAGTCCTAATCATGCATCAGAGCCCATGCCCTCTTCCTCCTCAACGTCCTCGTCCAGACTAGGTACGTCGACGACGAATTCGGGCTCGTCGACATCGAAGGAGAAGGCGACGGTGCAATTATCGCGCAATCCCTTAGCAACCGGGGTGTCGTTGTCCTTGACCTTGATGTTCTTCCATCCTTGTGTCAGGTCGTTCGCATTCACAGGCAGGGCGTAGGCAAGCTCCACGTCGCCATCTGGCAGGGGCGTCGTTTCGGGAGAGGTGTGGTTGATGGTAAGGCCGTCGGGGAATCGGTCGCGCAGGATCTCAAGCAGCGATGTGGTGATATCGGAGAAGGTTTGTTGACTGTCGACGAACAGCAAGATGGTGTGGGTGCCGTACTTGAAGCGCACCGAGTAGAAGGTATCGTCGACTTTCTGTACCTACAAAGAAGAGTTAGCTGCGAATGGAAGGTGGGGTGCGTTTCGTCACTCCAAGGTGCCTTTCATACCATTTTGACAAGTTGCAGCTGACTTCTAGAGAGATTTCTCGGTGATTGGATTTTGGAAAGCTCAGCCTTGCAGCAATTGGAGGTCGCAGACGTCATGGAATAGGTCCTCTTTGGTTGAAGGTGGCGGGCGAGAATTTCAGGCGGCGACTGCTGCAGCTACAGCAGGCAGGCGCGATCCTCGGCGGGAGCTACGGGCCATAGAGCCTAGCGCGGGGCACCTTTCTGATGCGCGACCACGTGATGCCAGCTGAGAAGGCCCCCGTCAAGCCGTCCGCCAGGTCATCCCGCCCCGGGGGACCCTTCCCCGAGAAATCAGTTCCTGGTGGTCCAAGCTCCTTCCGGGTCTGACGCCGATTTGTTTTGCGCCCGAGCAGCCGGAGCTTTCTTCTGATCGTCACAACTACAAGTTACAACCACAACGACCAGGGCACTCTGACCTCACCCATCCCGACCGACAACTTCCCCAATTACCACCGACAATGGCCGCACGTCGCCAGACCATGGCTGAGTACTTCAGCCTGGAGCCCGCCGAGTCCCGCCTCTCCATCCCGACACCAGCACGCATACCCCTCGCCGGCATGGTCGGTTTCGGCATTGGGACAGCCTTGGGTATTGCGCAAGGAGGACAGACGGCCTCGCTGCGTTTCCGCGCCGAGCACGCACACAAGATGCCCACCACCACCACCGGCTGGTACCTCTACCACAAAAGCAAGAACTATCACACCATTCACGGCGGCTTTCGCGAAGGCCTACGCATGGGCGCAAGGCTCAGCTTTTGGACCATCATGGCATTCGGCCTCGAGAGCACCGTCGACAGATACCGCGGCAGTACAGACCTCATTAGCACCGTGCTTGCCAGTCTGACGGTAGCCGGAGGCTTCAGTCTCGTCAGTATGTCACGCCAGTCCTGCTTCCCAATCCACGATGGCATGTTTGCTGATGCTGTAATCTTCAAGATCGCTTCTCTCTGCCCACTGCAGCTCGCACGGCACGTTACGGCCTACTTTTTGGAGTGCTGTACGGCGGCATGCAGGATATTGTCGGCTTCGCCCGTGGCCGTCCTATCGGATACGTCGAGTTCCTTCGCAAGCGCTTCGGGTCCACGAAGGCAGCTAAAGTAGAGGAACCACAGCATCCCTAAACTACAGCCGTCGACTGGCAGACAATGCGACTCTGCACACTTCGACATTCAGTGGAAGTAGCTGCACGCTCACTTCCATCCATGCCCACTACCTGGTCATAGGACGTTCTGATGTCGCACGCATCGGATATGATGCTTTAGCTGGCCATTGCCCCGCCTACGTTCTACCCAATCAACCCCACTCTGAAGCGCGCGAGCTGCGCATTGCTGGAGGTAAACCTCTGATGATGCCTCGCTATTTATGGTCAGCATCTATGGGTACGAGTTATGATGAGAAATCTGGGTCAGATACTTCACGAGAAGCGAGAAGGCGAGCTAGTGTGACGAGCAAGAAACAGATTCCGCCGAGGACGATACGCTTGGTAAGGCGTCGAGCGATGGCGGAGAAAGGCGCCGTCACTGCTGAACATGACATCGTTTCTCAGCCCATACGGAGTAATCAAGCGGATCGAGGGAGCGAAGCTGAAACCACATCCAAAGTGTCCTCTACAGGAAATGCCGTGGAAGGATACAAATACAACACTACATCAACCGAGCCATTCTGCACACCAGATGAGTCCCATGACCGAATTGGGAATTGCTGGCGCGAGAGCGAGTATAGATGGGGCCTTGCTCTCGCTTCCATCTCGAGGAGGGCAAATGGATCCGACTTGGCGCATGGCGAATTGTGGTCGAAGACGGCGGCAGCATCAGGTGCTTTGACTAATTCAAGACTCACGAGGTCGAAATGGTGTAGCCGTCAGCACCAAGTGTACACAACGCGGAATAGTCATCGTATGAGCATTCGGAGCCGAACACCTCAGAATGCCCGCAGAACATGAGACGAACATTCTAGAGTAATGATCTACATTCGTCTCACAGCCTCACACAGCCACAACTCTCGTCACTCTCCAAGATTCCACCGACTCAACATCTGACGTGTCCACGTGAACCACGTGAACCACGCATCGCCACTGCCTCCGATCTCGTCACTTCCCGCCCCTCGTTCGCCGATGCGCCGACGCGCCGCTGATCAAGGGTCCATCCCGATCCGATCTTCCGGAAGCGGCTACCACCGGGCAGATACCGACCCCAATGACACAAAATAACCCACGTGATAAAGTGCCAATCTCTCCCCCGAGATAAGCAGCGCCGCACACGGGCTGGGCGGGAACCTGCTAGTCCCATCTCGCGCGCAGGACATACATCATTGTCTGCTTCCTTCGTAGATAACGCTGCGGCTCAGTCCTCGAGGAAGGGAAGGAGCGAGTTTAAGGGTGGCTCGCGTCCGTGGGTTGCGGCACGACCGCATCGGCCGGGAGATAAAGGATCAATAGACTTGGAATCTTTGTATAATACCCTCCCCACCCCTCTGCTTAATTGGTGATATCGTGTGTTGTCTCTGTTTTGAGAATCCCTCAGGTTTGAACGTTCAATTCCAAGTCGTCATCATTATTCAGCCCGTCGCCTTACTCATCCGCCGCGGCGCGTTAGCATCCTGTTTTACATCCTCGGCGGGCGTCCCTAAACACCGCGATGGCCCGGCCATTGCACAGCTTGTGCCTCCGCAGCGCAAGGACATCGATTTCCTGCGCGTCCATAAGCCGAGACCGCGTCGTTGCTAGGAAGAGAACCATCACTCGCATCAGTGTGCTGCCACTACTCACGACGCCAAACAGACATCGACAGTGGATCATGTATTCAACGTCTACCACAATGGCGAGGAGGAATATCCACTCGTCCACGAAGAGGTCGTCGTCGACGGAGCAGGTGCTACTTACACCCATCGAGTCGGCACCACAAACGGCGCTGGCCCCCTTGTCGGTGCTGCCCCTTTACATGATCATCCGCTCACTCCTCACCACGACAATCTCGTCGTCGCCCATCCTGCTGCCGCCTTCATTGTGGGTCATGTCGGTGCTCGCCAACACGACGAACCCGATACTCAACCCGGACAAGAATCCGCTGCTGCGGTTCTTCCTTAAGCACACGTTCTATGCCCAATTCTGCGCGGGAGAGAACCCGGTGGAGGTGAAGCAGACCACCAACAAGCTCAAGGACATTGGATTCACAGGGGTCATCCTGGGCTACGCCAGAGAAGTCGTCCTCGACGATGCACAGACCAAGGATTTGGCGTCATGTGGTGAGGGCGAGATGGCAGAGGAATGCATCCGCGATGAGATTATCCCCTGGGCCGAGGGGACCCTGGAGACGGTCAGGCTGGCCCAGCGGGGTGATTTCGTTGCTCTCAAGTAAAGTCATGTCTTCATTGTCGGGCTGTCTCACAGCTGCTAATGCCACCACAGGTTCACAGGTGCAGGCCGGCAGGCGCTGTACTCCCTCGCAGAACGTCTCCCTCCCTCGGCCGCCCTGGCCGACTCAATCGACTCCATCTGCTCTCTCGCTTCAGAGCGCGGCGTCCGTCTCTTGTTTGATGCCGAACAAACGGCGCTTCAGCCCGGTATCGACATATGGACCGTTGAGTATATGCGCAAGTACAATACTTCTCCTGGCAATGCCGTCATCTACGGCACTTACCAGGCATACCTCAAGTCTACGCCTCAGACGCTCCGGCGCCATCTAATGATCGCCCGTGGTGGGGGTTTTACGTTGGGGGTGAAGCTGGTGCGTGGCGCCTACATCAATTCTGACCCCAGGCACTTTATCCACGACACCAAAGCGGACACCGATGCCGCATACGATGGCATTGCCGAGTGTCTCCTGAAGAGGCAGTGGGGCGAGATCTTGAGGGGAGACTCGCAGATGCCACCCGTCTGCTTGGTGCTCGCCTCGCACAATGCCAAGTCAGTAAGGAAAGCGCGAGCCATATGCGATGCTGGCGAGGCCAGGATTCAGATGGCATTCGCACAACTCCAGGGCATGGCAGACGAGGTGAGCTGCGAGCTTGTGTCGAAGAAGCCGGGGCACCAAGATGCGAAGGCGCGGGGTGTAGACGCATACAAGTATCTCGTCTGGGGATCGACTGGAGAATGCATGAAATACCTGCTGCGGCGGGCACACGAGAACCGCGATGCCGTGGAAAGGACGCGGGATGGGCGAGACGCAATGTGGAGCGAGCTTTTGAGGAGGTTCAAGGGCGTGATTGGGGTCTCGGTATGAAGAGTTGGAGCCCCTGTTGACGGGAGGAGTTGGCGCTTGGGGGCATGATTAGCTTGCAGTATTGTACAACAGCAAATGATGACGACTTACGAACACGACATCAGCAAACAGCTGAGGTATCTCGCGAAAGCATGCGATGGACCGCCGCGGTCACTTTACGCAGTGCGCAAGGCCATGGCGCCCAGCACGAGGGTCTCTAGCTCCTCCTTACGCTCCGCCTCGTCCTTGATAGCGTCGAGCCAGGGGAGACCGTTGAGCTTGTAGTACTTGCGCACCTTTGCCCAGTCTGTGGACGTAGCAATATTCTCGTCGGTGAAGGGAACAGGCGTGCCCTGGAAGTGTTCCTTCATGTGCTTCTCGACATCCTCGGCGGACTGGGACTTTGACTCGGCAGAGGTGGGGGAAACGATTTTGACAGCAATGACGTCTTTGGACGTGGGGCTGATGCCGTAGCGGCGGTATGCTTCGGCTATCTGGGAAGAGTTAGTTGGTGTGAAGCGATGTGCCAAAGGTATGTGTTGCGCATACGTTGTTTGCAGAGCTGAGAGAGGCGACAAGCTCGGAGTGAACGTTGGGGGTCTTGAGGCTGCCATCGACCTTTGCAGTGACGGCCTTGAAGGCTGCGGCGAGGATGTGGGTTCGGGAGACGGCCTGTAGGATCACGATGTCGGTGTCAGTGGCGGGCTGTCAGGTTTCTGTCTGGATCGAGACAAGAATGTGACATACCACCGAGGCGTCGACTAGGGCGTACTCGAAGTCGGCATTGCGTGCCAGCAGCTGCGAGTGCAGGAAGGCGGCATTCTGGACATCCTTGAAGAAGGCAACGTGCAGGGCATGATCGGCGGGCACGTGATCGATGGGGACGGTCTCGATGATGGACATGATGGCGGACTATCTGTGTAGTGAGTGCGAGACGTCGGGTATTCGGAGGTCAGGTAGCTGAAGGATGTAAACGAGGGTGGTTGTCTGTCTGTCGTGGCGAGCGAGAGGGGGATTGAGTTGTGGAAGGTAACTGGCGATGAAACTATCGCGGGGTCGAAAATAAGAAAAAATAGAATTGAATTTTTGGCACGCAGCAAGGAAGGAGCGTCCAATCTTTCCTGCCTTCCCCCTAGCAAAATGGTAGGTAGGTAGGTATTACGTACCTATCGGCGAATAGACTTGGGCGGTGCTGTCAGCGTCCTGTGCTTCCGTTTCTTGGAGGGGCATGGCGGGGTCACGACACGACACCGCACCTGACGGGAGCACCACCACCTCACTCATACACTGCACTGCAACAGTCAACACGCGTCCAGGGTAATGTTGGACGTGAACAGGTCGGGTCGCTGAGGGAGTGGGCACGGCACGGCGGACAGGCCCGCTTTTCCCGCCAGCTGGTTAAAGTTGCCGCCAGCGGTTGCAACTGAAGCTTCCATCATCTGCCGCAAGTCATGATGTTGATCTTGCATACCTAGTTACTTTGCCCAGCTAGCACTCCAAGTAAACTCAAGGTAAGGTAAGGTAGGGTAGGGTAGGGTTGGGTGGGTAGCTGCTCGTGTCTCGGCCGAGGTTGAGAGAAACCCGGATGAAGCTTCACAAGCCTCGTCTAGACACCCGTACGCCGGGTAAAAGACAATAAAGTCTGTTAAAGATCCGACTCTTTGGGGCAGCATCCTTGCACATCGTAGGTTTAAGATAATCTTCACTTGCGCCCAAACCTACGCGGGAAACCCACCCAGACCAGCTTCCGCAATTACCTTACCTGTGCTAGGCACGCAGCTCCCAGGTGGCACGGCGCGTCATCTTGGGTCTCGATTCAGCCCTGTTTGGGAATCGATGGTCCTCAGAGTTTATCTGACGGGACGAGATCGTGGGGTGCCTATCCGTAACGGGAACCTGGGGTTGCCATTTTGACCCTTTGC